ATCCCAAATCTACAGTGCAATCCAGTGCAGATAGTGTATCTACAAGTGCACTTTGACTTAGTATAATTTATGTTCTTTGTCTTATTATTATGGTTTTCTACCTGTATTACGATAATTAACTTTGTTAGGTCTTATAAGATAAATAAATAAATCTAATGCCGGAAAAATAAAAGAGGGTGGAGGGAAGGGGGAAGCAGTATTGAAATGTGCTGTGTACATGTGCCAGTCCCCTGCAGTGAATGCAGTGATTATGTTCTGTGAACGCATACTAATAAAAGTAAAGGAAAAAAGAAGCTGCCTTTGAAACCTTTCACCTTTTTAGGAAGACAGTATCTTTTCCTGCTATGCCAATTTAAAAATGAATAACATTCATTTTCCTAATTAAAGTAGCACATTTCTCATTGAAAGCAATGACAAAAAACGATTAAAAAGGAAAATGAAAATAACTTGTGTTTTTCTAACTGAGGTAGCCTCTCAGTCTGTGAGGTGTGTGTTTGTGTGTGTGTTTCACAATACTTTCATAAGATACACAATGTTCAGTCCTTTTAGTTGTCTGCAAGTTCTTACTTTTTTTGAAAATTTTGGTTTTGCCAAAAGAGTGTTCAATAACTTTATGGAGACAAACATTTATTTAACCATTCTTACTGTTGGGGTTTTTGTATGTTAAAATTTTGCTATTAAAGTTATGATAAATAATATTTTTACATATATTTTTCTTATTTCTTTATGATAATAATTGCCAATACTAATTTCTAGAAAAGAAAGGTAAATATTTTTTAAACATTTTATGCTCATGAAACACTTTTTGAATGGCTAGATTGATGAACAAAGTTAAAAACATGTACCAACTTACTTTCAAACAGAAATCTATTAAGTGGTACACTATAACAAACATGGAATATTACTGTATATATTTTAAATTTTAATTGAGATAATGTGTACCTTATAGGTTTTTGTTTTGAATACAGGAAATGGAACTCAGGACCATTTACAACCCTTTTTAAAAACATTTTTTTTTTTAGACAGAGTTTGCTAAATCACCAAATTTCCCAGGCTGAGCTCAAATTTAGGATCTTTCTGCCTCAGCCTTCCAGAGGGTAAGGATTATAGGTATGCACTATCATGTCTGGTCATATTTCTTTGCCTTCATAATTACCAAAATTATACATTGCTTTTGTCTTTATACTACAGCTTTATATTCCTTTAGAGACTTGATTGTTCATGTAAGTGGGTTTTTGTTTATTGATTTTGAATGAAAAACTCATATACAAGGACTATGATGAGTTTATATTAAACATTTTCATATTCTTTTTAAAAACTTATTTGATGTGAGATGTTTGATATAAGAATAAGAAAGCTAGTTTGTAGTCTGTTTCACTTATAAATATATGTAATGAGTTTTAAAGGCCCCAAGTAATGAGTTAATTATTGACTAATATTTTCCCATTGCCATCTCAGGGACACCATTCACATAATACTTTCACGTAGGGATTGTAAGCCTCTCTCAGCTGCCTGCTGTGTTCTATTTTCTATCTGTTATTTTGGAAGATAGGTCTATGACATTTTAATTACTATATTTCTATGATGCCTTAGCTATAAAATAGGAAAAGTTCCCTTAACATGTCTACATTTTTGAAATTTCTAGATCCATTTTTACTCATACTCTTGGATACATTTTGGAATTTTTTTTTTTTTTACTGCAAAGAAAATCCCACTAGGATTTGTTCTTAATTTTGAACATCCTAGCTAGCATTGTATTCAAGGAAGGGACCTATGTTTTGTTCCAGGTTTTATGTTCTTTAGCAAACTTAGATTTTTTTTCCTGTAATTTTTTTAATGTTATGTTGTTTCCTTTATTTCTCTGATGATAAAGTGTTTTTAATTTCTAAGCAACCATTACATATTATAGAAACACTGTATTTTTAAAAAATGTATTTACATTTAGGCTTTCAATTTTGCTATTTTATTAATGATAATTTAAAGTTGGTTCCTCCAGATTTCCTAGACATACAATCATGTTAACATAGGACAAATATTACTGTCAATTACAGAAGTTCTATTGGTTATTTCTATTCCATATTATATTGCTTTATTCAAATTTTCAAGAGGTTTTTATATATAAACACATTTAATATAATTTTATATCATATGTATATTCAATATATAAATATATAATACATATTGATATTGCATTCATATACAGTATAATTTAATATATGATAAATGGTAATAAAATATATTTGTATTATATTAATGCTAAAATAAATGTGTATCATAAACGTGTGTATATTATAAATGTATGCATATATGTATACATATTTTGTATGTGTGCATACACATACCTATATATATACCTATATATATGTACTCATATGTGTATACGCATATTTATGTCTCCTTAAAGACCTTATCTTTCAAATATATACTCCTAAAAAGCAACACTTTGTTAGCCAAAAGTATTATTATACGCTAAATACAATATTAATTACATAACATGCAACTTCTCATTTCATCTACATATATGAATATTAAGAAGACTGGATTTTTCACAATTGAGGAGACTGAGTTTCAGAGAGGTTAAGTGATTGTCTGCACTTAGGAAGCTAGAAAATAAAAAACAAACTAATAGAACCACTTCTTCCTTCAAAATGCACATATTGCTTGTCTACCCGCTGTTTGCTGAGCAAGTGACTGATTAGATAAATAAAGGGTGAATGACAAACATGGGATTCAATAAGTTACATGGCAATTTTGAAAATCATTCTCTATTTTACCCCTAACACTAAAGAAGAGCAGAAGGAAAAGATGATGTAGCTACAGATTTGAAATCAGAGAAATGAGATTTAAGGACACATAGCACATGGTTTTATCCTTAGAAAAAGGAGAGTAAGGATAATGAATATAGTTGAAAGGGACTTGAAGACTGAAGATCATTACAAAGCTACTATGGGACTGATATTTGCATTGGAAAGCAATCCGATTTCTGAGTAGTCATGAGGTTCCACAACTCAGGCTGCTGAGTTTGTTCTGTATGCCTGGAAACGTGTTAGGCAAAGTTTCAGAGATATCAAAGGAAGGACTAGCGAAACACTGAGTGCTCTGTGGTATACGTCTCTGCCTCTGGCTACTTGCTATTGTCCAAATTAAAGAACTATTTAAAAAAATTATTTATGAGCAAGCAGTAGAAATATCTTGCTAATTTAGCCTAAGTATTATATAATTTTACAATGAGTTTTTCATAGTTTACTTATTTCAGAGAAAAATTCATGATTTTTAGATACAGTTGATATTATAATTCAGTTATTGGCTGGTTACTGTGTTCTGTCCTTTCAATAGGATATTATTTAATGTAGCACTTCTATTGCCTGTCAGTCATTATTATGTTTGTCAGTTATTTATGTTAGATAACAGTTTAGTAAAATGGAAGTTTTGAAATTAATTAGTAGTATAAAATGTCAATAGTATCTATTTACACTTTTTAATAGGGATAATCTAAAATGTTTTTTTCAAACATTGTTTTAAATATACATCTAGCTTTTTATTCAATATTTCAATTCTTTCTCTCCTTGCTTGTCCCTCTTCCTCTTTCTCTTTCTGTCTCTTTTTAAGGATTTCAGTTATCCTGCGCGTTTGATGTGTCACACACAGCTAGACAAATTCTATAAAGTAATGGCAGTCTCGAACTGAGAAATGTCAAGGGAGAATGGCTTCCATGTTATGGAGCAGACCCACACATGTCACCAGTGCAACAGAGGTTACACACACAACATGACAGTGGGGCATGAGAATGTTCTGATATTTTTAAGAGCAGAGTATAATGTCTGTTTTGAAAACTCTGGCAATATGTGAAATGAATTATATGCTTCCTCAATTTTCTTCATGCATTCCTAGGAAAGAGGGTTCTCAACCTGTCAGCATGATGACAATTCATTGGTCAATTGAAGACAAACATTAAACTGTAGTTGAGAAATACATCATCAGAGTCTTGTTGGAGTAGGGTCACGGTGTCAGTCAGAGTGTATAACCAAACATTTCAGTGTCCATGTTGTTATATTAATTTGCAGTGCTTGAATCAGACTAGGAATTATATTTTGCTTCTTGGTTTTGTTGAAATGTTGTATGTATACTCACTTCTAATATGTGTACACTTTGAACAAAATGTACAAACTTTAATTACTTTTTCTATTAACTGTCATGGTTTTTAGACATTTCATAAAACATTCACATTTCCCCAAATAGGCATGTTGAAGATAAGCTGCATGAATTAAAAGGATTTAAGTTGATTCTTCAACATTCTGAAAAAAAAAATTTCCAGCTGTTTAAATCAGGGAGAATCAGATCTAGTTTACAAATTGGTGCAACATTTAAACCATACCATTTTTGGTGATTTTTACTTGGTCAAACAAAATATTTTTGTTTTTCTTGATTTTTTTTTCCTCTAAGGACTAATTTCTTCAGGCTGTTGTTAGTTTACTAAAAATGCAAACAACTAGTTTTAACAGACATTTCAGTAAAGAATTAGCAGATACTTTAATGTCTAATAATGAAAAAGCTCAAGTATTTTATAATGATATATATATATATATATAATTAAGACCATTTGAAAAACTAAATAATATTTATATAATGACACATTTAAAATGTTAAATGGGCTTAAACATTAGGAATTAGGAACTAATTTGATATTTATATTATTATTATGTAGGAGTTACATTTAAATTCATTTTTCACTATGGCTGTACTTTAATAAAATGTAGATTATCTTGCTGTTTTCAATTTATGTTCTGAAATTATGAACTTCTCCTATTTCCTTTGAGGCTATGTTACTGCCACTTACAAATATTATAAATAATCAATTATTTGAAAGTTATAATTTAAGAAGACAAGTTTTCTTACAAAGTTAAGAGTTAGTTAAAGCAAAATGTATTACTTTTGTTTTTGAATACTATAAAATTTTGATGTTAAATTCTAAATTCCATATTTATTTATTAAGTCTAGATTTGTTTTACACCCATCAACTCCCAAATCTTTGAAAATGTATATTTAGCTCTATAATAATTTTGTTACTCTGCAGTGAAAAAAATATACTTTGTTTAATCATTTTTAAAATAATGAAGGTTTCTGTAGAGATCAGATGGTTTCTTTGACCTTGTATTTGAGAATAAATAAGGCAATAACTCATAAAAGACAAAACATTGGTGGTTGAAAATATATCCCACAAATTATACTCTGAAATGTTTGTGGACTTTAGCATTGGCGTATGATGTGTACTCTGGTTGGATCTACTGCTTGTTTTTATTTTTGTGTTTTACATTCCAACAGAACTTAAAAAATCAGCAGGGACAGTGCTAATTAATTTATAATGTTATTTTGTGTTTCTGAACAAGGTACCTCAGTAATTAAGTGAAATATTTATGATGAATATAAAACAATGCAAATTTATTTGTTTGCCTGAAAGCTAACTTGTTACTTATTTAGATTGATCTTCTTAAGGATTCTTTAAACTGAACCATGGTATGAGGAAGCGAGACATGTAAAACAAAGATGGTGCAATCCTTTGGACTGGTGTGTTACAATATATTGTGTTATTGTGTAAGTCAGACAAAGTGTAGACATAAAATACTGACCAAATTCATAAAGATGTTTTCAGTTTCTCTTATGGAAGAAAAGAAACTATAATGAGAATGGATCCACACTATATTATAAAGGGGAAGTTTATAAATCATGTATACTCTGTAGTACTCAATCTAGCCCTAACTTACAATCATGTTTGTGTATTCATGTGAGTGTGTGTGTGTGTATGTAGTCATAAAATAAAACAGAAAACTCACACTCCTATGTGCTGTTTTATAAAAGCCTTGCAACTATTTTTCTTTATACAGTAAATACTCAATCTGAATTTATTTCAGTCTATATTAAATGAAAAGGCTGCTTTACTTTTAATGCCAGCAACTGCTCTTACACTTATTCCTCTAGAGGAGACTAATACAGTTTTAGTGTTGGCTGTGGAAATAAAATAAATTCACATTCACAGGTACAGAATTGAAACATTTAGTTTCCTCGGGGAATAGTCTACATTATTCTTATCTTTCAACTAACAATAATTCCAAATGAACACTTACAAGCTTTATGGATTTAGTTAATGCCACTCTCCTGGTCTTTTTCATAATAATGATCATCAAAGTTATAGCAGAAATATTACCGAAACCAACAAACGAAGACACTAAAACAAAACAAAACAAAGCAAAGCAAAGCAAAGCAAAACAAAACAAAACACTTTGATGTCAAATTGAAGGGAGAAAAAAGATGTTCTAGCTAATGGCTTGTCTGTTTTCAAAGAAAAATCTTCTAAAGCTGCTGTGTGGGAAATGCACTAGTTACACTGAATACATTATTTTCTGTTACGTGATGGTTTTACAGCTATTCATGCTAAATTAAGTAATACCTGATACTGGAGAATATATGCTAACAAAGGTCTTTGGTATAAAAGACTACATGTACACAAATTATAATTACAACTAACATTTGCCACTTTATTATGTGTGAGGCACTATCCTCAGTACAGTTCCGTGGGAGTAGTTTTGTTTTGCCTTTGCAGAAATCGAGGCAGACTAGTGAAGTCTAATACCCAAGGCCAAATGACTTATAAATGAAGAACCCAGATTAGAATCCATGTAATTAAATCCTAGAGCTTTATTATTTGTCCCAAAACATCATTTTGAAAAATCAGTGATTTAAATCTGTCAGATCGAAATGAAGGAGTGTAAATCTAGTTCTGTACTAACCAATATGAGATCCCTAGTCATGTGAAGTTATTTAAGAATAAATTTGAAATAATTAAAATGAAATAAATATTTTTATCTAATTATGTTAGCTATTTTACAAGTTCTGGGTTGTCAGAGATGACTAATGGCTGCTCTTTGGGTAATATAGTTACACAGCACTTATCTATACTTGATCTTAGCCAAAAGGCCGAGAAGTGATTAGAATACTTCTATCAATGCAGGAAGTTCTACTGGAGAGTGCTAACCTAAAGACTTTGAAATTAGCCAATCATAAGTTCATTCTAGTAAAGTTATATTTTAAAGTAACTTTAAGTAATCTGATCCTTTTCAAACTTGATCCTTAGGAAGACAGTGTTATTCACCCTTTCAGTCAGTGGCTGACTTGACCATTTTTCTAGTGTAATACAAAGATGTATATGGTAGCTATTTTCCAATATGACCTCCAAGGATTTTTTTTTTTCCTGATTTAATGTTTCTTTGGGTTCACCTCTCACATGGTATCAATATTGGTACAAAAATGGAAGCCTCTGAGTGAAAAGTTAGTATAATTTAGAGTCAGCCAGGAATGTGAACTTTAGTTGGCATCTAGTAGGATGCCAGGTTTCTGATTTTTGAGAATGCAGATTCTTTCCCTATTTTGTTTCCTGTACAGACATCACATAGTTAGAGCTTGTGATTGTATACAAATACAGTCCCTTTTCACCTTATGCGATTACATGCTTGTGTATTTCAAAGCTCTAACCATGTGATTTCTATACACACACATGTACTAGCACATACATGCAGAAGTAAAGAGAAGTGTTTGCATGAGTAAAGCTATAATGACTGTAGAAAAAATGCAATTTAAAAATTGAAGCTTAACTGAAGTTTAGATTTTGCCTGTTCCATCTTCAGAAAAGTTTCAAGGAAGAGAGATAAACAGCCAGGTAAAAATTACCTGTGTACAAGGTTAGGTTACATTACATATCCAGACATAATGAAGACCTGTCAATGTACGAGAAATACAAAAAGAATTATAATATTAAAGACCTTGCAATGGGAAAATATGATTGGTTGTCATGAAACTTATTGATCTGGGGGACAAACAAGTCTTTAAATTACAGTTATAAACCTATCAATTTTTTTCTTACAATTGTCAATTACATAAAGCATAAGTAAAATTTTTTTTTGATTTCTTCTAATATTTTACTCCATCTTTAATTTTTATTCTTTCCTCTATGCTTTTGTTCTGAATATAACAGTAATTATTTTCTAGCACTTCTTAAGCTATCTCACACCCTGATTTTAGTTTCTCCCCTAAGAATTCCTTTTCCTTCTACCCTGTGCAGCCACCTGCCCTCTGCTTGAAGGCCCACGTCCACTTCGCTTTGGTGTTCACAGGCAGATGCATTGCATTTTCATTGCTTCCACACTTTATCCATGTCTTCTCCTTCCGTGTTGGTTTGCAGTTTTTGTTTTGAGAGTTTAGTCTCTCTCTCTCCAACCAGACTTTAAGGAGTGGAGACTTGGTACTTAGTATTTAGTCACTCAATTATATTGTTCATTTACAGTGAAACAGGAATAGACAACAACTGAGAATTGAAACCTGCAGCTCAAAGATCAAGGTCAATGATACATCCTGCTGCTGACCCAGCAGTGCCCCTCACTGAAATACTTCTCTCCAAGGGCTGCGTCCTTAATCTCCCTGTGAATTTTGTGCTGAGGCACCACACAAGATAACGCAGGGACCGCAGGCTTGTCTGAGTTCAAAGCCAGTGTTTGTAGCCACTGAAATTCACCACCATATCACTAGCTGCCACCACTTGATTCAAATTTGGTTTGAACTGACCTATTCTGAGTCTGCTTACCAACCTATCAGCTGTATACACTGACGGGTGAATGCTAAAGATTAAAATGAGGTTATATTGTGGTTCTGTAGCCACTGCTCATTTGTCTTCTACTTTCCTCTTGTGAGATCTTGCATTACAAAAGCCATTTCATTTAGCTCAACAGTAGCCCTTAGTCACAAAAATGATACTGTGCATCTAATGCACAGGCCCACTGGTGAAGCGCTGGGCTGAGTTTGTGACATTGAGTAAAATCCACAGAATAAATATTCCTAACACTATAACATTTTTAGGGGAAACCTGTCCAGAGAGATTTCTGGAAAATAATTAAAGTTGGCTATTAAGGAACAATTAGGAAGTTTATTTAAAAAAAAAAAAAAAAAAGAAGTTTATTGAGAGGTGGCCTAATGAACTAAAATACCCTCATCTATCCAGTACACAAACTTTGGTTGTAAGACACAGATCTTTGCTTTTGTCATTTTTATTTTCTTCTTGTTAGTCTTAAAGCTGATAGAACTAAAAAAAAAAAAAAAAAAAAAAAAAATTGAGCATCTTCAGGCAGAGTTCAAAGTAGTTCCATGATTAAGTAGTTTCTTTGAGCAGGAACTAGGTACCAAGCTCTTGTCCAAATACTACTGATGGGCCTAGGGGTGGATGAGTGGAGAGTATGTATAAAATAGGATTCCTGCTAAGGTTAAACTCACAGCCTGTGGGGGGAGCAGGTCTTCCCCTGTGTCTTAAGTAACAAGAAATCGTGCGGGCATGCATGCAGCTCAAATAAAATCAATATTTATTCTTTAGCTGTAGTCTTTACCATATGGTATAATTTTCAAGTGGAGGACACAGTGTCGGGTGTGGCTAAACTAATTAGAAACAGGACTTAATTCTTCTAGGGACTCTCACCAGAGAAGCCACTGTTAACTAGGAATACCACAGAATATTCCATTCTTTTCTGATTTTCCTTGTTTCTTTTTTGACTAAGACTGTCTTTTCAGCATAGTATAGGTTGAGAGGTAGAGAACAGGTAAAAAGAAGACTGTGGATTTACGGATGGCAGTTTTACCTGCAATGATCCAAAAGGCTTTATTTGCTTACTTTATGCTTATGGATTTGACTGTACATCAGTTTTCAATTAGTCAACTTGCAAACCTCTGCCAAGTGAGCCAAAGTTCACCATGTGCTCCAACGTAATGTTCCAAGACCAGATTCTGCCCACTGTGGGCAAAGGTGACTTGCATCTCAGGACCTGGGGCAGCAAAACAGCATTGTAAATTATAGGAAAGGTGTCAGCCTGCTTTGCATTTCAAAAGTGAAGCTTTACATGTAGGGGAAAAAGACACTAGGGAAACGAAACAATGAAATGGAAGCTAAATGTTGGCAAAACTCAAATTGCATTGGATTTATACTTATTGGGTTTTTAAAGTAAGCTGACAAGAAAAATTATCTTCATTGCCTACCACTGAAGGGCTTTTCTATAGAATAAACACACTGAAGAGCTAATTTGAAGGAAGCTTCAATATGATAATGTAATAATTAAAGCAGTAAGGCAAAATAAACTACCCATTTCCTAGTAGCTCAGCCTGCCGCAGGTTGGGTATAAGGTATAAGGCTAAGGGCTAAATTACTTCAACCACCTGAGATTGACAATAATCATCTTAAAATGTGATATGAGGTGAGCATTGCCTTCATTGGAACATATTGTCTCATGCAAATAAGGGGAAATATCAAATTTTCTATGTATTTTTGTGAGCAGTCTTTGGGAACTAAATTATTGGACTCAGCCTGAAAATTTGGAAACTTAAATGCTACTAATTGGAGTCTACATTTTCCCATATTCTTGGTGGTCTTTTTCCTCTCTGAGTGCTTTATCCTCTCATCCTTTTATTTAAATTTCCTCTGGCCAGATTATTTCTGTTTGGAAAATTGTGTACTCCATTTGGTTTATTAGTTACGTGTGTGTACTTAAAGTGGTTTTGTTTAAGTAGCTAATTAGTCTGGTACCTGGGTAGCTTATTTACTATGTGGTCTACAACAATGCTTTGTAAGCATTACTGTGCATTACTGTACATCAGAGTTGTCAGGGATCTTATTAATACTCAGACTCTGATTCCGTAGTACTGAGGATGAGCCTGGCATTCTGCATTTCTGAATGCTCCCCGGGTATTACAGTGTAAACAGCAATAAACAGTGGGAATCTGTTAAGTCTTTTAATCAAGAGATGACGATAGGGTGAGTGGAGTGAAAGGGAAGAGAATGAAAAAGAATTAAGATTAAAATGTCTTATGTACATATAACAACTCCTGACAAGTAATATAATCATGCACTTCAAGCATGTACTAAAAAATAAAATTTGACAAAAAGCAGAAAAGTAAATAAATAAATAGCAGAGGGCCACATGATGAAAGGGATATAAAGCTTGTAAAATAGTGAAAAGAACAATGTTTTCATGCAGTGGGCTTTGTTTTCTGCTTGTTGATAATTAATCTGATAAGGAAGAAATGACAGAAAATGAACCATGAACTTTTTGGGGATTTATAGATAAGCAGATTAGTCTTATTTAGGGTCTGGGTGATATCACTGGACACAGGAGAATCTCATTTTGATATAAATGTCACAAGAAAATTTCAAGCCACAGGCATGTTGTTGCTTTGGGTTTTGTTATCAGTTAAAATTAAGATCAGGTATATAGTGACTAGAAATAAATGGAGTGAAAAGGAATATTCTGGTATCAACTAAACAAGCAGAATGATTTATGTTTATAATTGGTGTCTCCAGATACTTGCTTTTCTCTTTAGTTTTAGTGTTCTATCATACATGAGATGGTCTTTGGGCCCTAAAGGTAATGTAATGTCAGCTCCACAGATTCACAGCAAACAAAAGTGGTGAGAGAAAAAAATGTCCCCAACTCTTTGTAAAAGGAAAGAAATGTTGTGTTCATTTGTCTGCTTAGTTCGTCTTTTTTTTTCCAAGTGAAATATGTTTGAGTAGGGGATGTATTTCTCAAAATCTTGAGCATTCAGTGTGAAGCACAGAGAATTTCCAGGTTCTCCTGCTCCTTCTCTGTAACATAATTCTGAACATTCCTTTAGCACTAATAACAGGATGGTCAACATGAAGAGCTAATAAGTAATTCTTTCTGAGATGCTATAAAATTTAATTGGCTCCCATTTTCAGGTTGACTGTAACCTAGACTATGTCTCTTAAGGCAGGAAGAAGAGCTTGAGGAACTAAAGAAAGTATAGTCTTCCATATGTGCTAATTATTCCCGGGGAACATATTTTGGTACTAGTATGTGTTCACATTCCCTTTGCATTAAGTTGCTCATGGTTTCTTATCCCAACCAATGGTTTTACAATGGTAGAGACAGGAAGGGCTGGTGCCACCTCAGTGTATGAGTGTGGTCCTCTGGTGGAGTTGTGCAATGCACAGTCCATGTGTGACCTCACGTGAAGGTATTCTTCTATAAGTAGGCTTTGCCTGTCTAGAAGTGGACCTCAAATAAGTTCTCATGGATCTTATTTCAAAATTTAAAGAAATGAATCCTCCCTTAGTTCTCCTTTTCTTCAGGCCAAATATTTTAACACAGTAGGCAACACCAGTCCAAATCATCTCTGCAATGCCATCTTCTGTCATCTTACCCAATGCTAGGGTATTGTTTGTCTTTCCTGTCCCACACTTATTGATACACCTTGCTTTCTGCTTGGTATTCTACTAAAAAATCTCTGCCTCTCTAAGCTCCTCTACTGTTCTGACAAAACAAATGTCCCACTTTCACTTTGTTTGCATTCTATATACTATCATCTACCTATTTGTGGCTCCTTTGGAATGCCTATTTGTCTGTATCTGTCTATCTATATGTTTTTCTGCCTATTTATCATCTAATATAAACATGTATTTGATTATGTTGTATTCTAAGCATATTTGTATTTTCCCCCCAAAGGACTGTATCATCTATTTCTTATTTTATGGCTTTAGAAGACAGTCTATCTTGGATATCTTTCCTAAGGTTGACTCTGCCAATGAGGGAAGTCAACTTGAGTTCCTGTCCTTGGGTGAGGCTTCTGCGTATGTCATCTTGTCACTCCATGTGTTGGGCTGCCAAAGGCAGCTTCAGAGAGAAAGTGTACACATTCGGGATGTCTATGTGATCCATTACTTTAGCCTCCTCTCATATCTTTCAAAAAGCTTCTAGTGTTACGTGCTTGATACATGTTAAATGATTATTATTATTGATTACTTTGAGAAAAATAGTATTGCTAACATTTACTGAAAGTAAGTTCTTAATATCAAGTATTAGGTTTTTCTTGCATGATTTTCTTTAATCCTTATCTGCCCCCAGGGGCAGAACCATGAAATTAATGAATTTTAAGTTTCAGGGCTATGCATTTACAAGGGCTCTTTCTAATGCTATGTTTTAAACTTTCTCATTTTAAAAATGTATAATTCTTTTTAATTCTAAATAAATGCTCTCTTTCATACCTAATTTTAAATTAATAGGTTTCTATTTTTTTTCTTGAAGAGGTCTCCCAAACCACACAAGCCTCAGGACCCTTAAGCCTCCGTGCCTGTTAAAGAGGTACTGTGAAACATTCCCATACCATCCAAAGTGTATCCAGAAAATTTAATCACACAAATGCAGGGTATATTATTGGAAAATTAATGAAAAATTAGGTTTCTAGGTAGCCCTGTTTTCTCACAAAAATCACAAAATTTAAGATATTGACACACATTCCTTTGAAAAAGTGACAATATACTGACCTGAGAGGGCCCTAAATTATCAGAGCTGATCACTTACAAAACACTGATCTTGTCTAACTCACCTTTGTTTAGAACCTGGATTGGGTGAAGAGTGGCGACTCTTCACCAGTACAAATGTGATCAAATGTGAATGTTTGTTTCACTTGAGTTTTATTTAGCGCATGTGTTTATTTCGTATACAAGAACCAAAGATCAGAAAAGTTAACTAATTTGTCAGCATGACATAGTAAGTGATACAGCTAGATTCAAAACTGAAGTCTGTGCCTATTGATTTTAGTGTCTAAAACACATGTGAAGAGGGAACATAATTATCACTTCATTCCTATGCCTGGGAGTGCTCCCTCTGTAATCCCCTTATCCCAAGTCCCTCCTCCTGGTCTCAGGGATCAGTGAGATCTGTAGAATACTGTGGTGAAAAGGCTGAGATCTTGACCAGATCTCATCTTACTCTCCTAATCGTGTTTCAGGTTGCCATTAAAACTTCAGAATAGGGCTGGCCACATATTTAATTTCTCTGGGACAAATTTGTCACACTTCTCACACAATAATACCAATCCATACATACCATCCGTTCTCTAACATCTCCATTCTGACAGATTGTCTTTTTTTTCTCTAGTTTGTGTGTAACTTTTTTTTTCTTTTCTCCCTTCTACCTCCCTTTCTCACTTTGGTTTTACTTTGTTAAGTTCTTTCTGCAGGGGTTTTATTGACTTGGGCTCTAGAACCTACCCTAGAAATTTTGTTATTCAAATATATACCTATATACCTTTGTCTAGCATTCTAATAGGTATACTTGAGTAGACAATAACTGACAGGACTCATCTTTGGCAAAGCCATTGTGGTAAACTTTTTTTTTGTACTGGGGATTGAACTCACAACTTAGTGCTTGCTAGGCAGGCGCTTGTGCCTCTAAGCAAAATCTCCAGCTGAGCCCAACTTAACATGTATTAATGTAATAGGATTTTAGAAAAGGGTCAGAGTCATTCTCCTTACAGAGGATGTCTCTTTTCAAAACCATAAACAATTCTCATGAAAGAAAATAATATAAATCAAAGATTTATTGAAATATTTAAGACATAAATCAGTACAGAAGCATTTCTTTCCAAACAAATATTAATTGGTCTGAATTTTGAAAAGTTTAATATTTTGATCAGAATCTTCCTCAAGTATGTAATACCTTTTCACTGATGAGGTACTTTCGCTTATCTAGCACAACTTATACTTCAAATTTAAAGGGGAGTTTTATTTTGCTTCATGATCAGAAACTGCAAAGTTCATGAAAACTACTTAAGCTATGATAGCCAGGAAGCAGAGGAAGGCAGAGTAGGAGACAAAAATACAGCTTTCCATGTTATGACTCCATTGATTCACCACCAACCAAGCCCAATTCCTAACGATGCAGTAACTATGAACTCATCAGTGGATTGATTTACTGATGAGTACTTGATGAATATAGTGCTTTCAGTGATGCTACTCAGAACACACGGACTTCTGGAGATTTTTATATCTAAACCTGCAGTAATTAATTGCAGTGTTAACTTGAATTGTTTAACACATGCCTGCTAGATTAGTGGAGTACAATTCTGGGTGTGCCTATTGATGATTGATGTGTAAGCTGCAAATCAAGAGGAGAAGACTTACCTCAGATGTGGGTGCACCAGCCAATAAGCTTAGAGTCTGGATAAAGGTAAAAAGAGAAAAAAGAAGGAAGTTTCTCTTTTCACTTGTTTGGAGCAACTCTGGTCTTCACAATTGCCTTTGAACATTTGTCTCCAATTGCTTCCGGCTTCCAGCTCAGATTTTTCAGCCTTCCAATTGAGACGTTTTGGCTTTCCAATATGAAATCACACTAGACCCTGCAACATATTCTAGTTAGCCCTAACAAATACAGAGACAGTAACAGTTACATTAAACAAATTCTTTTAACAATTTTCTAATTACTCAGGTTTATCACCAAGAACATTATTTAACTTATTTGTCTAAATCTTAGGGATATTCTCACTCTAGGGAATCTCAGTGTTAATGCAAATTAAAATACTTGCTATTCCATTTATTGTTGTGATGCTTATAATTAGTGTAGTTTTTGGGGACCCTATACCAAACAATCTTCAAATCTATGCCATCAGTTGTTTTGTCTCAATTCTGTTTTTTTCATTCTGGTAAAGTTTGAGATGTTTCTTCTTACTTTCCTCTGTGAATGTATATTTAAAAGTCTTCTTCCTCTCCCCCTGAAACAGTAGCTCTCAACTGCAGCAATTTTGACTTCTATGGATCCTATGTGTTATATGGAGATATTTTTTATTTGTCTTAATTTAGAGGAGAGGAATGCTACTGGCATCTAGTGGGTAGATATCAAGAAAGATGCTTGTTGTGGTTTAGAGTAAAATATCCCCCAAATTTCATGTGGTTGCAAGGTGACTGGATTGTGTGGGCATTTTAACTGACTTGCTATTACAAGGTGGGGTTTGGTGAGAAGCCATGAGTCATGCCGGGTGTGACTTGGAAGGTTATCATTCCCTTACCACCTCCTCCCTTGACTCCACTTCTCACTTAGCAAGAGACGAGGAACCTCCCCTCCACCTTGGTCCTTTGCTGTTTCGTCTTGCTTTAGAATCAGCCAACTGTGGTCTATTTTTGTAAGCCAAAATAAATGTCTCCTATTTAAGTTTTGGTGGCAGGTATTGTATCCTAGTAACAAAAGATTTCTAGGATACTGCCAAATTTCTTACAATGAGCAAGACAGATCTTTCCAACACCGAAATATCTATGTCAAAATGTTCAATTTAAAGAATACTTTCTAAAACTTTGTAAAAGGGTAAAGGCTCTAAAGAAGTCCAAGGATCTTTCTTTAATTCTATGTGTTAAAAATGCACACTTACTATGACCATTAGAAAGGTCCAGTATCATTTCCTTCTTAAGAACAGAAATGTCTCATGGATTGAGGTCCTTTGGCCTTTTGCTGAGTGATGCCTTGCTATTTGCCATTAAGTTAATGCCCTTGACTCTTGTGTGAACAACTAATTTCCTTTAAACAAGATTGAATACATTTTTTGTGGTTACTTGACTGTATGACAATATCACCTTGTGTAAATACTGTGGCATATAATAGACTTCTAAAGAATTTTCAGATTTCTACTTAAAACCACTTTTATACTGACAGTAATCTAATTGTTTAATGCGTAAGACATTTTTGTGCTGTGATTTGAATGGCATTAGGAAAGGTAGTTGTTAACTGAGCAGCTCTGCCTACTTTAAAAAAATACATTCTTCAGCAAGGCATGTTTTTTTCCCAACCACAAGGTAAATGACTATTTTTAAAGATGTTATTGGAAGTGAGTTAACTGGTCACTATCTTGATCTTCTTCACTGTTTCTTACAGCTTTTCTGGTAGGTAGAGATCACTGGTCCTGAAGGGACTCTTCACTGCATAACATGTGGGGAGCCTGAACTCCACATCGCCTCTAAATTTTGACCTGTTCACTTAATGGTGCTTGAATTAGGCAATAATTTCTTTCAGGTATAAAATAAGGACAAATCATATTTTCTGCATGTGTGTAAATGTAATGAAAGTTATCCTACTCTACTTGATGGGGAAATTTATTTAAATAATTTTACATAGAGATGTAAATCATCTTAATAATGATATATAACCTATATTGTACTGTATGTCTTGATATATAGCAGTGCACCAGATAAATACCTTTCTTGTACAATGCATATTTGGCTAAGTTGATCTAATTTCCATGCATCTTCCCAATTATGTACATTTATTTAGTGCATAAAAAGTGTAACAATTAATATCAAAGTGTAAATGGGTATGCATATTCTACCACTGTTTTATTCAAATGTGATGTGTCAAAATCAATTTGAAATGAAATGCAGAGTGATAGATGAAAGTGATAGATCTAAGGTATGTACAGCATAATACAGAAATTTAGCTGATCTGCAAGCAACATTTCAAAAGATAGAATATGATAACTTAGTTACTTTTCTCATTGATGAGACAAACTACGCAATACCCACAAGTTAAGAGATGAAAAGTTTGTTTAGTTCACAGTTTTATAGGTTTCAGACCATAATTGGCTGGCTCTAAGGCAGGGTGGATGGAGGACAGGCATCATGATCACAGAGGGAACAAAGCAAGCAATGGATAAGACAAGCCTGTTTCTTATATTTATCTAACTTACCAGAATTAGAATGGTACCAGACCAATCAGTAGACTGATTTAGTAATCACTCACCCTTACCCCTAACATCCTTAATCCTAGCATTGCATCATGAATCAATCACACACTCTAGATCCAGCTACCTTGAAGAAACCCCACTTATGACTTTATGAGGCTTTGAGGGAGCATCTAAACACAAGCCATAACATATGCTTCATTTTAGTTGTAAGAGTGTGTTTCTAATTTGTAGCAGACACTATAAATGGTAGTGATATATATCTTTAGAAGGGCAAGTTGACCAACAAAATATGACTTTTGTGTTCATATTCATATCATTTTTCTGCTTGTATGAAAACTAAACACATTCTGAAGTTAAAGATGATCCAATAAATCTTCAAATAATTTTCAGCAGTTTTTCTAGTATTAAAAATTTAATATTTTATAATCATGTTTTCTAACTTTTATTTTCCTTTGGAAAGTTACTCTTTACATTTGTTCATTTTAAAGATTATAAAAGGCTTTCTCAATGTTTTTACATGTTGTTTATTTAATAGTAAAAGTATTTTTTATGTATATTATGACATTTGCAATTTTAAAATAAGAAAAATTAATTTCATGTATTAGAAGAGTTCAGAAACATAGTTTAACATAATAATTTCTTTGTTGAACACTCCATGAATTAAGTGGATAAAGAGCAGACAATTTTTCACTGTGGTTCCCCTCCCCTGTTTTTCCATTTCAATTTAGGAATTACAAAGGGTTTATTTAAAAAGAGAACTTAAAATTTATCTCTTGAAAGAATTTCTAAAGATGAATTTGGAGGAGGATATTAAAGAAAGTATGGTCCTTTTAATAATTATTATAGAAAAAATATACAGATATTGTCTCACAAAGGTATTTTTCCCTGCGTAGGAAACTATTATAATTTTTTATGTTTCAGTTGCCATGTGTACACACATATACATTGCATTTCCAGTGTTAAAAATATTGTTATATGAAATATATATGCAAAATTTTCCTACAGTTGTAGGAAGACATCTACTTTGAATTGTTTTTACTGCTGTTGCCTTTAAATAATTTTTAAAAAAGCGTAACATAAACAAACTTTCCTGGAACAAAGATCTAACAAAACCAGTTAAAGAAAGTTTATTCAGTGAATTCTATCTCTTTGCAAAGTGTCAAAATGTAGTATTAATGTTTTAATGTGAATTAAAATCATTGGTGTTTATTTGGCTTTTATAACTATTTTATCAATTTTACACAGAAACGAGTTCTAACTTTCCACTCTCCCCTAGAAAGATAGACCTGTGTTTAGGATAGCTAGAAAGTAATGATACACATTTAAACATATTGTCTATGACTGACTCCCTTACACTAAGCCAAATGACTTAGGACTTTTCTCCTTTCTCCCGGAGTTATGTGACACAAATTCTCTATGACGACTTATGAGCTTGTGCTTTCATTCAGGACTTACCGAAGTTTAAGATTAAGCCTAAAGCGTACAGATGTAAGGGTTCCTATTCACTTGAACTGGAGACTCTGCTATAAAGTGAACATATTGCACATCTAAAGAAATCTCGGAGCTTCTCTGAGACGATGCTGAAACGTTGCATTATGAATTCCAAAATGAATTAATGAAGAACAACACTGGAGTATGTATATGTGTGTGTATCACAGCTAACATGGCAACTGGAATACAAAGCCTTTTTTCTCACATTTTGCCAGCCATAGTATAAGCTTCCCACAGAGGATGGGGATTAACAGCCTGTCTCCTTTGGGGTGGGGGCTAGGAGTTGAATAAAATGTAGAATCTGCAAATCGAGCTCTGAAATGATGAAGTTAACATTACATATGTAGTCTATTATGGTAACTGGGAACATGTGTGTCATAATGTTGGGCAAACTTATTTTAAAAAGTGAGGCAAAGTAGAACGAAAACTGCCACCCCCCAAATTCTGTTCAACTCTCATGATCTGAAGACGAACTATTAGGTAGGATTTGATAGAGCACAATTTTGTTTCTCTCCACCACAGCTATCTCTACCCATTCTGATCTCTTTACATTTTCTTCATTTAATGTTCAGATATATTTTTCATTTTTCAGTGTGAGTGACTAATTTCTCTTAGCATACTGAAGTGGCAGTATGGTCTTTCAGACTTTGCTAGGCTTTTCTGAACCCACAGATGTCTTTAAATATCATGAACTTGAAATATTTCCCAAGGAAAAAAAATAGAAGAAATCTTCTGACACAGGACCTAAAAGAAGAAGAAAGACAGCAGAATGTTAGGCCCCATGAGACAGTTACGAAGCATTTGGTACCTCCATCGCCCACATCAGTGGTTAGAACCTCTGAAACTGTTTGTGTTCAGGTGTCTCTAAGCATATTTGGAATGAGCCATTTGAAAAGGAACTATAATAGGAAAATGGTAATAAGCACAAACTTTTAAATGATAAGTCAGTCCCTGTAAAAATCACTGGGTTCAAGACAGAAGAAAAATAATAGAAGATTAGAATGTGGAAAGGAATTGGAAGTACGTAGAGAAAAAAGGAAGCAAAAATGTTAGAAACAGACAAAATAGCAGATTACACGTGCTCTGAGTACAAATGCTCTGATGTAGTGAAGTTAATTTAAAACTTGTCTAAATTTATTGACTCTTTGGGGGTTTTAAAATACTATTTTCCCCCTCTCATTGATTTGATGACTTTTGTTTGATTATTCTTTCATTGTTTTCAATTTATTATTCAGCTTAGGAAGTAAGCACCTTTATGTAATGTACTTTAAAATTTTGTCGTTTAACTCTTTATTGGTGCTATTGAAAATGTCATGCTTTAATGTCAACTGTGTGCATCCCAGCCTGATTCATTTCCTGAGAATTCTAGAATACCAACTCATCACCAGAGATGGTTTTAAATTGAGAGGGTGGGAGATTTCAAACAGTAGTCAGTGTATTAGAGAAAATTAGGTGCAGAGTGAACATGTGATATTCTTAGACTGATCGCCCTGCCAAATGCTCCTCAAGGAGAGGATAGAATTTCTGACTCTAAATCTCATTGGTTTGCCTTGCCAATCATTTCTCTAAAATATGTTAAGAGCATTCTTCATCTCTGTGATGTTTGCAGCTAATTGCTGTCCTCCTTAACTTCCTGGTTCTCATTTATATCGCCTCTTTCTGCGAGAGTTGTCCTTACTTTTTGTTTCTTTAGCTTTTTCTAACATTAACACATTTTATTAACATTTGCCAAGTTAATAATTCCAGGAAACAGCTCCCACAATCGTCATGTCTTTCTCAAAAGTCTCAGGAAATATCATATATTAAACCAAATATCCTTAAGTGGTACTTAATGAATCCAATAATTGAGCTCATCTTTATTTAGATACATATCTTCTTTTTCTTTAAAAAGTAGAATATATTTATTGAGAGAAAGCAAGCTTCTGTCCGAGAGAGAGACAGAAGAAATCCTGAGTGAGTTACCAAAGACTCTGTCTTTTCTAGGGAAATACATATTTTCTAATGATTACTTTTACTCTCCTTTACTCTAATTAAATGTCTCACAATCAAGCAAATTCGATCACAGCCTTACCAGTCCTTGGACCAAAAAGCCTCCTTTTCCACTCTAATATACTCTGTGGGGTGAACAGAGAACCACAGAGAAAATTGAGTCTATTTCTAAGAGCGTATGTTCAATGAAAATTTTCTTGATCATTTCACCTATGTAATTACTCCTGAAAACTTTAGATTTACACACACATTTTGTGGTGCTTCATTTGTTATCTTATATCACATTTCCCGTGACACTATATCCTCTGTATCTTTCTTAGTTTCATTGTTCAATACATACTTTGCAGCACGGTCTTAAATGTTAGGTTTTAAAGGTAAGATTTATCTTCATATTTCTACAACTTTTGACATGTTGCTTAATTTATAAAATCCCAGCATACTCTGTTGAGTAGATTGACAAGCACACGGGTTCAACAGTTGCACATTTTAAATATATTTTAAATAAATTTGTAATACATTGTTGCACATTGTAAATGTATTGAGGACTCTGTTAATTTATTTTTGTCAATATTATCATTTATTTGTAGTTTTTGGCTATCTACACTTACTAGTTCAAGTCTTTACCAGTCTGTGGCCATATCTGATAAGAACTTCCATCCATTAACTGCTCCCAAGACAGAATCAGCTTGATTGTATTTTAATAGTTTAGAGGGAAGTTTGATTTTTCATAAGAAAAAGGAACAGAAAAGTTTTAGAGACCTCTTGATTTAGTAAACTGGGATGGTGGATTGAAGATTATGCCATTAATTATGAAATAAAATATTTCTTATTCCTAGTTATGTGTTCAGCTATTAATTTTAGTAACATGCAAGAGCCATTCATTTTTGTTATTAAGTAGACCAAAGAAAATGAAAAAATAAAAACTTATACCATGTGATCATACTAGATATTTGTACTTAGTAGGTCCTCAGAAAGTATTTGTGGACTGATGAAATTTTTTCCTTGAATTATCTGAAAGCCACTCATCTTATATGAATTGAGACTAGAAGTTTTGTGAACTTGCTATGAATAATAACCATTTTATCTTATTGAAAATATATTGAGTCTATTGTTGGCAAAATATATCTTTGAAAATTTTTTTAAAAATTGGGCAGTAATGTCTTTAATGTGTATAGATTGCAACCAACTTATATGATCAATTTTGTGATTTATTTCAGCTTACAAAATGTTGAAAAGTATGTTTGTTATTTAATGTAATTTTTAAATGGTCCTATGAGGTGATTGACATATAAAAGGTTATTTACATATAAAAATGAGACGATAATGAGATCATTAATAATAATTAAATTATAAACAATTTAAATAATGAATACCAAGAATTACTTAGGTATAGAACAGAACGTCAAATTTTGGCCATTGTCTTACAAAACACCATTCACTTGATTTCTGTACACTATATGTGATCTATACATATTTGTCTGTCAGTGAATATTGCCTAAGCCTCAGGATAACATTTTAGAACATGAGTTTATCTGGCACAAGGTTGTATTTAATAAACAAATACCAGCAGATAAACCTTATGTAGTAATTACATGAATTATATTCTTTTTTTTTTTTTTTTGCTGTTTCCTTTTTATCGGTACCAGGGATCGAACTCAGGACTGCCTGCGTAAAAAGCAGGCGCTTATGCCGCTGAGCTAAATCCCCAGCCCCATGAACTATATTCTTGAAATGAAATGTAGAATTACTTAACGATCCACCTTTATCCTATGTGTTATATCTCTGGCTGATTCAGATAAAAAAACCCTTTCCTAGAATTCTCCAGATTTTTGTTCTTTTAATAATGAGAATATAATGACTATATGAAAGTAACGATCTTATAACTGTACGATAGATAAATTCATGAATATTCAAGAAATAATTTTACATTTCTTTTGTAATATTGGAGCAGTAAATGATTGCTTATTTGCTGTCAATTATATGATAATTTGTTAGTAGTTGTATTTGAATGTTTGCTCTTTTGTGTATATATATATATATATATATATATATATATATATATATTTTTTTTTTTTTTTTTTTTTTTTTTTGTCTTTTTCGTTTTTATCGGTACCAGGGATCGAACTCACGACTGCCTGCTTACAAGGCAGGCGTTTATGCCGCTGAGCTAAATCCCCAGCCCCTGTGTATGCTTAAAATTAAAACAGGATTGAGACCCTTCTGCTCTCTATATTTGAGTATAATCATATACCTCCCAGGTGATGACATCTGTTTTAATTGCCTTTATTTCTGGATTCCATAACTTTTCAATAAAAAGGAATTATTGAATTTTAATTAAGGATGATGTTAAGGTACTGCTGCATTAAACTTAATGAACTAGGAAGATAATAGGTTTTAGGGAAGTAAAAGTAACACAGAATATAGATCAAGTGAGCATTATATACACAAAAATTACCTCATTTGTAACATGCTCCAGAAGCTGGATTTTGAATAAATACCCAGTTGTAATTGTGATTCTATATTCCCTTAACACAAATAAAAGTGTTCTTTTGAGATTTTAGATATCTACTATATGAAAAGGAAATAAAATTGGTCACTTTTAGACACATGATGTATTTTATAAACGTCATCTAACAACAATTTAGCATGAATAGAGATTTTACCTTTGAAGTATAGTTTATCATTAAGGTTATGAAAACTCTTTAGCTCTATAGATACTAGCATTTTCAAGTATGAAATCTTCTTTGCAACATAATGCAATATGTTGATTCTTCATTAATGACAAATACTATGTTGTAGTAGAAAGGCTAATGTAATTTATCAGTAATGAATTTATATTTTATCAAAACTCAGAGTCTACGTATATTTGAAAAACAGTAAATATTCATGAGAGGCACATGATTTCTTTCCTGCTATGTTTGGTGTGTGTACTTAAACGTGGGGCACTTCCTACATCATTACTCTTATAGGAATGTATTTCAGAACCATTTTGCCTCTTTGGTTGCTAAATCTCTCTCTCTTTTTAGATTTTATAAACAAAAAAGAACAAAAACAATGGTAAAGAATTTCAAAATAAAATAATAGAAGATTAATACTGGTTAATATATTACATATTTTTATCTTCAAAATAGTTGTTCAGATTACAAGACATAGGCATAAAATAAATGATCAATTGAAATAAATGATCAGTTGAACAATGAAACCACAAACTATTCGTTTTGATGAACTAACAGAGATTAGCATTATGCTTATCTTGTATATTGTCTCCTTAGTTAAATCTCTTTTGAATGGATATAGCTTAGACTGGAGGCCACATTGAAATAAACATGTCTGTTTTCTGGCCTTGATTCAGCATTTTCTCTTTCTATTGATATTACTAAAGACAAATAATTTAAGGTTTATATGGCTTAGTTTTCTAATCTGCAGATTAGGAATACTATTAATACCTACCTCAGTGACTTGTGTTACATTATTTTGTATGTGTAAAATAATTTTCATATTTTCCTGGAATATACTACACATTTAGAGATCTCAATTATTATAGTTATTTTTACTTGTATTACTAAATTATGAAAAAGTTTAAATTCACTATAATATAGTATTATTCCACTATAGCGAAGACTATAAACTAATTAGTTAATGAGAGATTATGTGTCTATAACACGCTGAAAATAGAAAGTATGTAACTCAAATTATTGATGAACTTTTAGTGCTTATTGTTGCAATCTTTAAGGTCACTTAGTGGATAGAAAAAT